TTAGGAATCACGAAAGATAGCAATTTAGATTTTATTTTGACTGAGAGAGAGAGAAAGAGAGAGAGAGAGAAAGAGACAGAGAGACAGAGAGAGTTGTTGGTTCCATCTGCTCACAGGTGTTACAGGATGGCAAAATCCTGCAGGGTTGCCATCCTTAGTAGACATTGCTAGGAGCAGGTTTTGCATAGTAGCTCTGTACCCTGTGACAGGAAGTAACATGACAAAGGTGTCAGGGAACTAGATGAGTTTCTACGGAGTTTGCCTATTAGCCACTCTGGGCATACTGGGGACACATCTTCTCTCCAGTGATTCTGCAGCCGTGGGCGTGACTTCTGCTACAGCTGCTAGGGCCTTAGTCATAGTAAAGGGAAAGAAAACATTTTTTTAACTGAAAAATTATATCACAATGAAAAAATATATAAATGAACCCATATTTACAACCTCCAGATAGAAGTTGAGAAACCTTTGATAAAAGAGAGGAATGATCTATTCAATAAAATTGTCCACATGCCTATTAGTGGATCAGCTATACAGCTATACAAAAACTGGTTTCCTAGCAGGCAGTAATAACTCCCTAATCACTTGAAACATGCTCTATTGAGTGGGCCCAAAGACATACCATCTCATATCTCATACCTGCTCTGTCAAGAACTTGTTACTTCTAGGGCCTAAACAACTTTACAATGGCCCATGACTCTGTCTCTGTGGGGAATGGCCAGTGTTTTCATCTTGTCCCCAGAGACCATGATTCATGTAACATTTCGCACATCTGCTTCAGGTTGAAACTCATATTTCTCTGACCCTTAACCTTCTGGAATTTCAGTCTCATCATTCTTTTTTCAAAATTGTAAAATGTCCTTTTTAATACATGAAAGATGTAAATAGAGAATAATGTTTAAATGTATTTATGATTTATAATATTTGATATAATATTTGATATGGGAGACTTTGGAATATTCTACTTTGTAAAATACATATTAATTTGCTGTTATTCCTATAATCAAGTCCACTGAGATGTTTCTTTCTCACCTTGGAAACAGGACAGCATTCACTGACAGGTAAGTTATATCTCAGGAAGTATTCTGGGCTTAGTGCTGTAATGCAGTGGTCTACACTGTCCTATAATTTCATGATTAATTTGGGATGTAAACAGTTACTAGGCAATCACAACTCAGGTGCATTTGTTTTTGTGGTAGGAGGAAGAATAAGGTGTTCAAGGGCATCCAGGAAGGAAATCACTGCTCAAGTGAGCTTCCTTGGAGATGATGTTTCCTAATTTCAAGGCTTCAAAGAGTCCCTGTAGAAAAGAATGGATAAGTACAAAGCAGCTAATGTGATGGTAGTGTATGGAATTACCCCACTCTGCCCACCTAACGTGTGATTTATTTTGTCACTACTTAGAAACAGTAAGATATTTGTAACAGCTGATTTGGTCAATTCTTCTACACTTCAGTTACTTTAAATTCTGACCTTTATAAACTTATTTTTGGCCCACCAGCACAAAAACTTCATGAGATTTACACCTCAACAAAGTTAGGCATGGCCATGCATGCCTGTGATCCCAGTTACATGCCTTGTGTAGGTAGGGGAACTGTGATTTGAGGCTACTTGTGCAACAACTATTAGATTCTCTATAGAAAATAATACATGGCCAAAAAGTGGGGCACATGTCTCAATTGGTAGAGTACTTACTTGTCAGTGGGAGACCCTGAGTTCTCTAATTCACCAAACCAATAAACCCACTACACAAAAAACTTGGATTTTTGCTGTTTTGTATTAAATACTTGGAAAGTATTTGCTCTCTCCATTCACAACTTACTACAGCTGCTGCATTGTCCTTTAAAATATAATTTAGCTTCTCTTTTAGCAAATATTTAGGATTGGTAATAAACTGTTGAACAAGTCACCTTTCTTATTTAACTATTTGTGATAAGATGAATCCCAAGGAGATCTTTGCAAGTTGTTTTTTTTTTTAATCTAGTGAAAAAAAATTAGAAGAAGAAATTATTTGGTAAATAATTTGAAGCAAATGAGCAGAGATACAAGTATGGACTGAATTTACAGTTTTAAGATTGTATAAAATGAATGAGGCATCATTTATCAGTAAATCAAAGCTTCTGAAAGTGGTGGTTGTGAATAGAGTTGGTTGCAATATCAAGAGAGCAGGGATTAAGAGTGTAACTGTGATTTCTTTTATGATAAATTATCTAGCTCCTGGCTACCATACATGAGCTCTATTAACTGCCTGTAAATTGTTCATCATAAAAATCTAGTTCATTCTTGTTAATTAGGCCAAGGCTTTTAGAAAGACTTTTTTTTTTCTCTCTTCTGTGAAAGCCTTGGCTGACAGGAGAGCAGGTACACCAGAATACAAGCAAGAAAATGTTCCTATGCTGCTCATGATGCTGAGTTCTTTAAAAACTAACAATTAAAAAGAAATTCCTGAATTAAAATTACTTTGGCTTTTTACCAGTGCAAATGGAAATTACTCTATTGTAGTCATAAATGAAGGTTAAATAGAGCCAAAATAATTACATCTTCTCACTTCAAATTCTTCTAATCAATAATATACAAGAAAGAGAATGTATGTAGATAAAAGAGCTAACTATACCCATCAGACTCGATTAATACCAGAAATTTCCTGAAAGACAAATAGACACATCAAATTCTGCTGGCACGTCATTCCATGCCATTATGTTATGCATTTTGCCTATGAAACTGAACTTTCATGCAAAATTATCTTTAAGGAAGTCTTGTATGTGTTGCTGATGGCCATTTTTTTCCCTGCTTTATTTTGCTTTTCGTGGTGTTCACATAAGTGATCAACTGGCAGGCAGTGAATGTTATGTTTATATTATCTCATAGTTTGCATTGCTAACAGGCTCCCTTGATACCATTTAAGGTGCATCCCTAATCAGCTTTCACGGTTCACACTTCCTTTGCAATCTCTAGAATTCATGAAGAGTAGACACTCTGTGCCCTAGTTCTGGATGCCAAAGTGGTTGTGACTTTAGGAAGTCCCAGTAGTCAGAGCCACAGGCTGAGTCAAGCTATGTGATTGCTCCCCTGAGATGCAGTTAGCAAGCCTCCCTGACAGAGGCCAGAGGCAAAGAACAGTCAAAGGCTAGGAAACTCTGTCTGTTTGCATACCTTCTCCTACTTAAACCCATTAATGTGCAATTAACAGTGGTCAGAAATACTATTATATTTGCTCACCTGAATAATAGCATACATTGGGGAAAAGGGAGAAAAGTCATTCTAAACCCCAGAAAAAAGTATATGTATTTAAAATAGTAAAAATTTACCTTGTGTTGCTACCTAATTTTTCCCCTTATAAATGTTAATATTGCTCACAGTGAAAGAGATTGTGTAGCAATTAGGTAGTGTATTTCATTTCCAAGATATTTTGAACTATCACATTTGACTCTTTCCTGTCCATTTCACAAGACGTTAACTCTCAGCTCTTCCTTGGTCTAGCTTTGGATTAATGTTGCCTGTTTCAGGGGCCAGTAAAGATAAGAACTCACGTAAGTACAGACTAAATTAGATATTCAGAAATGAAGCACAGCGGGCTTACTCGGATGGAGTGTGGTTTGAATCAGTGAATTTAAAATCAGGTTACACTACTCTTCTAGAGGCCTCTACAATGAATGCCTTGGAGAGATAAATTGCAATAGGCTTTAACAGTCTTCCCTTGATGGTTATAGAGAGACTGCTTAGGTTCTTCCTAGCTCAGTTTTAATTGAAGTAATTATTTTTTTGTCTTTTCAAGAGATTAAAATGAAAAGTCCTTAGAATATGGTATTTTTTAAACAAAATTAAAAAAAAGAATCGTTAAAATTTCCCTCCTCTGTTCATTGGCATTATCACCATCATTGCTATTAATCACCACCATCATTATAATCAAATGTAGAGATATGACTCATAGTTCAGGTTCCAGTTTTTATCAGATAATTTGGTCTTATCTAGGTCTCTCTTTAGATCGAAATGGAAAAATAGAATATCAGATTTAGGAAAGAAATCTAACCTGATTGCAAAATCTCTCCCAACAACTAAACAGAATGCAGAAGTGTCAAAGGCATGTGTAGGAAAAGAGCCAGGAGGGACAGTAGAAGAGCAATTGAGAGGAAAGAAAAGAATACTAGTCAGCAATAAAAAAAGAAAAGACAAGACAGAATGCAAGGTAGGCTGGGAAATGGAGTTCTTGTCTGGTTATTTCCTTATAGCATCATCTTTCATCTTTGGCAGACAGATGGTGGCTAGTAGTGTACCATTTAATAAATTACTTTAAGTCTAGGAAGTGCTTTTCACAGTTAAAAACTCTTTGACTTCTGAGGCCATTTGAAATTATAACCAAATCTTGAAATGTCTAAACACAAACTCAGTTCAATCACCTCTTCGTTGAGGGGAGTCATTCTAAATTTTGGCTAAGTGAACTACTAAGTGTTTGGTTGAATGAAAGTACTCATGATTACATAAGAAATTTGGGAGGTACTTCAGTACAGATAGCACATTTCAGTGGGTGTAAAATTTGACATTGTCACTATATTTGCTTTTCTGTAAGTTGTCATATTTCCTGATTTACTTTCCCCAGTTCCTTCTAGGGTGCTCCATTGTACTATGTTACTCAAGATAATGTTTCCTTAAGAGTTTGGCTGACTATACAAGCCAGGTTTGTCTTAGTGTCTTTGCAACACAAACTAGTTTATGTTTTATTCTTGTAGTCAGTACTTGATGAGATCAATGTTATAGAAACATATCTATTTTACTTAACAAGAACAAATCTTTGTTTTTTCAACTACAGCATTAGTTTACTCCTGGCCATACATGTATGTGTTGGGTTCATGAGACATTCAAGTCCAAACTATAACCAAGAATGATGAAACATTGAATGAATTCTTTGCAAACTCTGATACAGTATGGGGAGACAAACAAATATAGTTTAGGAAACATACAGGTTAACTCAATGCCTTTGATACTACTTTTAAAAAAACAGAAACATGTGTGTCCAAGGCATGAAGAGGCATAGGCCCAGCTCAAAAGCCATGTTGGGATAAACATGGGATTGTTTTGCCCCTGGTTGATATATTAAGATGAGTACCATGAAGTAGATGACACTGCCCAGAACAGGGACAAGAAAAATCTTTTTAATACTGTGTTCATACCCCAACTGTGAACTATTTTGAAAAGACATCTTAAGAAGCATAATATATCACTGAAGTTTTTGGAGGATCTTTTGTTTTGTTTCATTTTGTTTTGAAATGAGCTGATTAGCTCTAGACTGGCCTAGAACTTATAATGTGCCCTAGTTGGCCTAGAACTTGAGATTCTTCTGCCTCTGCCTCCAGATGGTTGGGATTGCAAATATTCACTATCATAGCTGACAGGAATTTTTTTTGTCAGTCTTGGGGCTTGAACTCTGGGCTTGGGAACTGTTCCTGTGCTCTTCAGCTCAAGGCAAACGCTCCACCACTTGAGCCACCGTGCCGCTTCCAGTTTTCTCGTGGTTTATTGGAGGTAAGAGCCTCACAATGCTTGATAAAAAATGCACTCATTACCTTGCCCATGTAATTGTGACTTCTCTGTACAATATTTTCACAATAAATAAATAAATAAATAAATAAAGTTAAAAAAAAAAGAGTCTCATGGACTTTTCTGCCTGGGGCTAGCTTTGAACCATGATCCTCAAATCTCAGCCTTCTGAGTAGCTAGGATTACAGGTGTGAGCCATCGGTGCTTGGATTGACAGGAAAATTTTTATTTGTCTCATTTTTTTTCAGTAATCTTTCAACCTCTATTTATCAAATTAGATTTTAGGGTCTTATCTCAGCCTCACATTTATGGCCTACTAATATCCTTTTATAAGGCTAGACTTAAATTATTCAATCTCTCTTCAGTCAGAGAAATTTGAAGTTGAATATTTAGCTCTGATTATGCATTTCATTTTGAATGTATGAATTCAATAAATGATCATTGACAAATATAATAGATGCCTTTACTTAGTTCTGCAAAGATTGCATGTGGAAATGACTGATTGTGATGGAGCAACGTATACTCTGAGACTTTACCAGAGCATCTGGCACAACGGAGTTTTGTAAAGAAGACAGAACAGATGTAAAAAAATGTCACCTAGCAACTAATGACAGCCCAGAAGAAGGGCTTACTGCACAGCATAGAAGATCAGATCTATAGGTGATTGGACAGGGTGTCATTACAGCCTGGTGTGTCCCTAGGCTGGATCCCAAGGCAGGATGTTGCAAAGGTCAGTTGTGAGGAAGGAAGGTGGCCTTTCCAAAAAAGATGTATATAAATAAGATTGTAGAACCTAAATCACATGCCATATTTAAAGCAATGGTGAATAGATTTTTCTTCTGAGTTTGAGGGTTAATAAATGAAAATCAGAGTTGAAACACGGGAAAACAAGTTGTAATCTGATTGAGGACCACATTTCGTCAATTTGGCAAGTGTAGCTGATATTCTGTATTCTCCAAGGAACTATTGAAGGCTTGAGGAGGATCTACTTATTGATAACATTATGGATTCTGGGTTTTGTCACTGTTTCAAATTTGTCTTGCACGCTAAGATTTCAGAAGTTTTTACAATTTAAAGCACATGCATGGTGGTCCACCTTTGGCTTCAGCAGCAACATATACAATAGAGGAAAACTGAGCTGCTATTACCGAGAGATGGTTTTCTGTCTTTTTCAATGAAAATAACATCATGCGCATTTCCTTTTCCTTTTTTGGGGAAGAGGTCCAAGAAGGATCAGAGACCAATTTCCAAGTGAATCTGAAGTATGTGGAACATACACAGATAATTTTTCTTTGAACTTCAAAGAAAAATATTTGCTATTGATATAAAAAAAATTAGCTTTTAAAAGAATGATCTAAAAATTTTAGGATACTCTACTCTTGGACTAATATAAATTTCACTTTGAATATCAGATAAATATGAAAAGAATTGATATTACTATCATTCCTCTAATAGACTCATCCAATAACCACTGGTAAAACTCGTTCTACTTCTGAGTTGTATATATGTTTTACAATTAACCATGTGGCAAATGCAGTGGGTTGACAATATTAATGCTGACTTTATCTACACCATCTGTTGTCATATTAACATCTACTTTCTTCAGAATAGCACCGTATTTATCTTAGGCATGTTCTGTTATATCTTCTTTTCTTTCTTCATTTGAGGCCATGCCAACTGATATCTGCAACATTTCCTGGTTGCGAAAAAGAAAGCTTTCTGTGAGAGATTGGAGGATGGGAAGGATATGTGGTCAAAGTTGCTACTAGGAAAAACATCACAATTCATGGACCCTGCAAACTGTAGGAAAACGTGGTTCTGTGGGAGAGAAATTATATGAAGGGAGCAAGAGGTTTTGATTTAGCTTCAAGGAAATGACCAAGGAGAGAGGTGGGGATGAGTAATGACAGAGCAGTTCGCAGAGATTCAAATGGCATTAATGTCATCATTAAAAAGGCACTTCACATTTTTGGCAATGCATTCTAATGGCAGGAATTCAAGTAGCCTTCTGAGGTGGGTCCATAAGTGAGGACTTTGTTTACTTTATACTTGAATTGCAGTTCAGATAAACTTGTATAAGCCTCCTTTTGAATCTGTTTCAGTTTGTTGCTAAGACACTGTTCCCAGACAACTTTGTCACTTATCCTTGTAAGGTAGCTGTGAGTTAGCTTCTTAGCATCAGCAGGCAAATCTCCTAGTGCCTAATTTTAAGTAATTTCATTAGAAAAACTGATTTTAAACTTATAAGAGTAGGAGCTAAATAGTCACAAGATTTTTAGAATGCTGTCTTTATTTTAGAAAGTACTTAGATATTCAAAGAATAGAAGAAGAAAAGCAACAAATATGTGCATTCAGTATGAGTCAACAGAATTAATCTAGGCATTACTTAAGCCTTTGGGCTTGAAGCTGTGGGCCAATACCACAGAAATAAATGCTCACCTCTGATAAATAAAAAATTGAAGACATTGACATAGGAGGGCAGAGTTCCTTTTCTATCAATTCCAGATCAAATTTAAACCTGAGAAATTGGAGCTTACTCATCAGAGAAGAAATATCATGAGCTATTTGCTCTCTCTGCTGTAACATAGCCCTGGCAAGCCTGGAAGTTATGTTGAGATCGTCAAATCTATAAGTCCAGGACCATCTTTGTGAATCATGAAACCATATGCCACGGGTTGTCTGACTTGAAAAAAAAAAGAAAAGAAAATCAACAAATCTCTCGACTCTATACCAATGAAGTCCGTTGATATGATCAGACAGTGCCAAGGGCCATTTGACCATCTTACACCTTCTCAATCTATGCATTTAAAAAGAATCTTTGCTGCTGCCTGATCCATGTAAAATACCAGAACTCCTGTAGTGCTAACAAGGAATAAAGATCTTGTACCAGATGGTGCCTCTTGTCTCCATCTATCTCTAGCCCAAACAATCTGCCAGAGTTTTGAAGAAAAAGGCGATGTACTCATGTTGCAAAGTATATGAAGAAACAGTATGAAAAGTAATCTGGCTGAAGCAAGGAAACCCAGAAGGAAAGGGGTTATTATCAGTCTTTGAGCCTGAGGGTTATGCTCTCTGTATTTTAGTCCCTAACATAAATGATATACTTATTAAGGCCTAAAAGGTATTTATCCCACTGAGATATCTCTGTGTCCTTGAAATATACTAACATCAGTCCTATGGTAAAAAATTTCAGGAATTTATCTCGATGTTTTGTTGATATAACCCTAAGTAAAGAGCTTGATAACTTTTTAAATATTAGTTATAAAAAGACACTGCATATTGCTTCACTTTTGCTTTTCAGTTCCAAATATGGCCACTGTAGTGATAAGAACTTGGGTACAGTTTATATGTCCCTTGGAGAATATTCTTAATATTCTAACTAATATGCTTGAGATGAGACTTTCTGTGTGTCATTTTTCTGCTTCTCTATGGAACTTCATTGTTCACAGTGTTTTCAAGTATCCTACCCTTCATACTTTGATGAAATTATTGTGCAATTTTATAAAACATCTATAGGATTTTAAAGTGCTTTAAGATCAAAGGATGTTTAATAGGAGAAATAAAGAAGCCTGTTCTATCAGCAACCCATTTGACTATAGCAAGCTCAATGATTGAGTTTTATTTGTCTTCAGTGCTTTGATTGGAAAGATATAAGTGTAAATAAATTAGGTCATTTGTGCTACTTAGAGTATAGTCTGCATATCTGATACACATTAGAACACCGGCTATGGTCAGTGATGAGGCAAATGCAGAAAAAGAGAGACAGTTTTTAGAAACTTTGAAAGCAGTTTGACATGGCTGTGACAGCCAAGAATGTGATTACTTTCCCAGTACTTGATTGCATATTAGTTTACAAGACTATCCATTACAATGAACTGAGGGAAATCAAAACCATGTTTACTGGCACAGATGGTTTAAAAAGTGCCACCTACTGCCTACAACTTCATCATTTTAGTTAAGGTGGACACAGTTAAGTTGAGTTAAGATGGATACATTAAAATGGACACAGTGCCCAGATAGAGGGGTGTGTGTCAGTCTTTTAGATAGTGGTGACTGTGTTACCAGAGCTTTAATGGCAGTGTAGAAAGAAACAATTGTATATTGGAAATATTGTAAAGAAGAAGGAATAGAATGTAGTCACTACTGCATGACAAGAAGGCAGTGGTCCCCAAACTGAATATCAGCCCAGATGACATTACTAGGAAAAGAAAGAATTGCATTAAGAATTTTGATTTTTTCATTTTCAGTCAGTGATGGCAAAACACCTATTTCAAATTTCTCAGGAACCACGAAAGACTGGGCCTCGACAGAAGAGTTCAATATTAGAAACTTAGAACAGATGGGAAAGTCTTCCTGATGGTTTCAATGAAAAGGCGAAATTCTCCTCTTCATATTTCACAGTGCTCAAGATAACACTAATGAAACTCTTTCTCTTTTGCCTTATTATATAGGTATGTGCATGGGAGTAGATGAAGAACAGATTTCCCACTTCTGCAGATTGTGTTGTCACATCCCAAAGTTAGAGGAACACCACAGCTAGGGTTTTCAGGTAATAAAGGCAGAAAGCTCTTGTGTTGCAGTGACAGTTCTAAATGAAATTCTG